CTGAGAACGAACAGACCAGTGAGAGAACTGGCAGATGGAGATCCCGTACCCATTGGAAAAGAAAGCACCACCTCCACCACTGAAGACGGAAGGTGGAGCATTCTGAAGCCAAAAAATTAAGAGAATTGAGTGTTTCAGGCCAAATTTTCTCTCTGCAGTGAGTTATTGATGGTTTCTTCCCCCATCCCCTTTTAAATCATGCAGGTGGGTGATACCCACCCAAGAGCCCGGCCTCTATTTCCAAACTGCAAACGGCACTCCTCCCAGCGCCCTGGAGCACTGTCACCGCTTCCCATCTCCCATCAGACACGCCAAGAGTCAAAACAGGAAAAGAAAACTAAATGAAAAATAAAAAAAAAGAACAACAATGACTGCGAATGCGCAAACTGAGATTACCCAGGTCGGGCAAATGGGACCCAGCACCTCGCCGGGGACTGCCTGTGAGTGCCACTGGTGACTCGAAGCATTTGAACGCTCTGCATGAAATTAGTTCGTTCTTTTGCCATGGGATTGGGTCCACGGTGTCACAGCATTGCCCACGAGGCCCCAGACACACCCGTGACCAAGAGATGCTCCTGCTCTGGGGCTGCCAGGTTCACAAAACATTTCTTTAGCTGCCGCAGACTCCTCGGAGCAGGGCTCGGCACTTGGGTGAAACATCTAACACCTCAGCACTGTTTTGCTCTGTCTGCTCTCCTGGCTGTCAGGCTCAGGGGGGATTTCAGTGCCCCAGTACCTCAAGGCAAGGAGTTTTTTCTTTTTCTCTTTTTAAAGCAGCCAGCTCTGCACCTGGGGCCGCACCTGGGAGCAAAGCTGCGCCGTGCGAAGCAGCACTTCCCCACTCTTGGCAGCTTCCTATCTGCAATGAGAGGGAGAAAAAGAAACAAACCCAAAAAACTAGAGAATAAAAGGAAATCCCCCCAGAAATTTAAAACCCTCACACTCTTTAAAAGTGGTTTTAAGTTTATTCAAGAGCAAAGTGACCATGCACATCTCACGGCTCTTGCAGAGCAGCTGCCTTGGATGAAGTCTCAAAAACCATGAGGCTAACGGAGAACTTTGTTACCAACTCTCCCTCCTGCTGCTGCTTTAGTGGAACTTTCCATCTCTAGGGCTGAGGAATCAGAAAAGGAGCGCTGAAAGGTCAAGCGAGATGCAGCAGAGTTCAGAGCTACGTCCATTAGGAAGAGAACTGAAATCACTTGCGATTCTTGCAAAGAAACCACTTTTTTATTAGTTTCTCTCTGAGTCAGACTAAAGACAACGTGGCCTATTAAAACACAAGCGCAACTTCTTTCCGCTCATCTCTCCTCTCTCCCTGCCCCTTTCCCCTCCCTGTCAAAGGGAAAGATGGACCTACACACCCACATGTAACACCAAACTGGAGCATTTCCCCATGGACAACAAAACGGTCTCATCTACAGCTTTTTTTTTTCTTGTTTTTTTTTATTGCGCAATTTTACACGGAAGGGGACACTGAGTTTACTGAGAAACACACACGGAGCTTTACACAGGCTGGGACTCATTCCCAGGCTGGAAACGGAAGTGCTGGGAACATGCAAAGATCTTGCTCCTACAGACATATGTTACATTCATAGTTCAATTCTTTACCAGTGCTAGGATGAAGCCAGAAGAGCACAGCCCAGCTGGCAACAACAGCGCATTTCTGCAATACCTTCCGCTTGAGGAACAAAGACCAAACCACCACAACTGCCCAACCAAGGAGCCCTGACCTCCAGCCTGCTCCCCAGGAACACCCACCCAGCTCCCCAGCACCGACAACTCATCCCCTGGGGCAGCAGCTCTTGAGTTGTCACAAAGGCCAGGCCGGCACGCCGAGGACAACCAAGGAAAGGGATGCACTGCCTCAAAACAGCAGGTAACAAACCAGGGCAGCTCAGCTATTGTCTCACGAGAGCATGAACCCTCCCTGCAACAGGAGAGCTGCACGGAGATCTCCAACACCATCCTCTTCCTCGGTGGTGGAGCCGGCCAGCAGTCGCAGGCACTACTGCAGCGGTGTTCATGTGTCTTGCTTGGGGGGCAGACCCCTACATCTCAGTCAAGCTGCCTGAATTTCCTGGCTCCCCTTGGACACAGAAAGCTTAAGTTCACACTTTGAGGTGTTAACTCATAAAAGGCCACTCAGAGAGGCAGCAGTGGGCCTATGGTAAGTGCTAGCACAGGCCAGAAAGGGATCTGACACGGACCTTGGCATTGGTACCCTTCTGAGTCAAGGGGGAGTAAAAAGAGGGGAGAACACAGTAACTGACACTAAGTCTTTAGCCCAAAAAGCACCTTTAGACAGTCTCTGGATCTGCAAGTTCAAACTTCTGAAAGTTTTAGATCCCAGGTTCAATATTGACAGATGACCTGCCGAGGGGATTTTTCAAAAGGGAACAAAATCCAGAATGGATCTAGTCTTACGCTGCAGGCCATGGCGCCCAGCAAACACACAACCAGAGCGCTGCAGCAGCTCCACCTAAACTAGAACCCAGAAGCACCGGCAAGATCACGCGGAGTCCCAGTCCCCCACATCACAGAACCACAGAATGGTTTGGGTTGGAAGGGACCTTTAGAAGCCATCTAGTCCAATCCCCTGCAACAAACAGGGACGTCTTCAACTAGACCAGGCTGCTCAGAGCCCGAGACAACCTGGCCTTCAGTGTTTCCAGGAATGGGGCTTCTAGCACCTCTCCCAGCAACCTGTGACAGTGTTTCAGCACCCTCGTCGTAACAAATTTCTTCCTTATGTCTAATCTGAATCTGCCTTCTTCTAGCTTGTCCTGGGGGAACAGGCTCTGCTAAAAAATTAATCCCCATCTTTCCTGTAGCCCCCTTTAAGCTCTGTCAGGCTGCTGTAAGGTCTCCCCAGAGCCTCCTCCAGGCTGAACAACCCCAACTCTCCCAGCCTGCCTTCACAGGAGAGCTGCTCCAGCCCCTCAGCATTTCTTGGCCTCCTCTGCACCCGCTCCAGCAGATCCACTCGTTTCCTGGGCTGAGGACTCCAGAGCTGGACACGGTGCTCCAGGTGGGCTCTCACCAGAGAGGAGCCCAGGGGCATAATGTCCTCCCTCGCCCTGCTGGCCACGCTGCTCTGGATGCAGCCCAGGGTGCGACTGCCCTGCTGGCTCATGGCCAGCTTTTCATCCACCAACACCGCCAGTCCCTCTCCACGGGGAGACCGATACTGGGTCCCGGTCCCATCCTCCTCACGAAAAGAAAGTGTTCAAGCAAACGTAATGAGAGAAATGTCAGACTTCAGGGTGCTTTCCCAGTCCATGCATCCCAGCTCCATATGTTACCACCCATCCCTGGGTCAGGAAAAAAGGCCGAAACAAACTATTCCCCCCATCTCGCAAGTCTGCTGTAATGATTTCATGTTCACGCAACACTAAAAAATGTAAATTATCTGCCAACACTAAACACTGTTATTAACAGGCTTCAGACGCATTAACTAACTGAGCTCCTATGACGATCACAGCTGGGTAACGAAGGTCAGCGAAGAACAATAAGTATAACACACCCACCATGCAAAACCATTGTCTTTTACGCACACAGCACGCTCGGGAAGAGAAGGATTCAACCTGAACATTACCACAAGAATGCAGACTACCCAGTTCACATTTCAGGACCTTTCCTTCTCCAGTAACAGAACTGGACAATAAGCAGAAGTGGCTGGAATTCGAGCACCTCATGAAACCTCACGACTGTTCCTGCACAGGGAGGGTTCTCAGGTTCCTTTTGATACACGGAGTTTGCTTTATGTCAAAATCAGCTGAGGCATACAAGGCGCAGACATCTCTCTCTTCCCACCTTCCTTCTGAATTTTTACCTCCATACTCCTGACGCTTACCTAAGATCAACCAAGAGCTAGTTTTACAGTCCTGAGCCAAGTCAGGCAAGGGATCAAAGCGAGAGTCTCTGCCCAGAGCATCGTGACCTCCCCTGACACCTCAGACTTCGTCTCCGGTCTGCCCAGACCAGAGGTCCATCAGTAACCGGTATCAGCAGCAGCACTCACATGCTCCCAGTTAACACGCAAGCACCGTGGCCACATCTGACGCAGCATTCAATCTGCCCGGTCTGAGCGCTACTTTCTAACTAGAGCAGCTTGACAAAACACTACAGTGGACAGAAGAGAAAGAAAAAGCAAGGCTGTACTCACACACGTATCTGAACCGTGTCCAAAATTTTGTTTCTAACTAAGACTAGGTATTTTGATGGGGCCAGCTCAGTGCTTTTTCTAATGCTCTGTTATGGAAAGGAGAACAAAAATACACCAAATCCCCGCAGAGCTATGAGAAGTAACTAGTCAAGGAATAATAAAGCCATGGAAAGAAAGGAGAGTGGGAGATAAAGTGCGGGGGGCTTCTTTTTTCCTAATCCCACCGACACATTTACTAAGCCCTCAGATTTGGGCACATGCAACTCACAGGCAACCACATAGGAAAGATTTTGTCAAATTAACACGTGCGCTGCATCCTGCAAAATAAAAGCAAAGCAGAAACAATGCAGAAACCACAAAGCATCCCACAACAACATGAGGTGCGGAGTGTCTAACCCCACCGGCCGTCCCGCAGCGATCGATGCCTGCTCTGGAGCAACAGAGAAACTCGCAGGAAAACAGAAAGTTCACTTTACTAGAGGGAGGAAAAGGGCTCGCTCAGTGTGCGGCAGGGATCAGAGTTCAGTTAGAACCAGCTGCACAGAAGAGGTTCAAAGTAACACCTCTGCACTTCACAGTCACTCCAAAGCAGAAGTGAAAATTAGCCACCGCTCGTTAGGTGGGTGGCAACGGATGGACTGAAAAGCAAATCTGCATCTTCTGGGGAAGAGCCCTGCTCAGAAATAAACACAGGAGAACGGGCCCGCGCGGTTTCCGGGAGCACATCCAAGACCCTCACGGGACAGAACACATCTCCAAGCCCCAAGCTTTGTTCCCATCCCGCGGCAACCTCACAAGCAGGGTCTGGCCTTCAACCGAGGCAGGTGCTCACCTTCCTCTTTGTTGTTGGTGATATCTTTCAGCAGCTCAGTCTTCATGCAGGCGTCTTTCCTTGTCTCTCCCTTACTCAGCACTGTTCGCTAGGGATGGGGAAAGAAGGGACAGGGAGGGATGGGTGGAAAAAAGAAATATTGTTTAGCTCAATGTTCATACACACGTTGCATTTACAAGAGGAGACAATCGTGGACACCTCCTGTTTACATCCCGGGCAAACCTCATTCTGCAAAAGAAGGCTGCCAGGAAACTGCCAGCAAGGCACAGGTCAAAGATAAAAACCAGCAAGGCTCACCCCAGCCAACAGCCCGTCTCGCCCAGGAGCTGGAGGGGCTTCAAGCTGCGCCCACGGCTGAGGCCTCGCAGCTCCCGGGTTGAGCTGCAGCCAGTTTTTCTGAGTGTAACGTGTCTGGGAATCCAGCTGAGTGTGTCTGGGCAGGCATGGATTAACATGGTCACGAAAGGCATCTCAAGGAGGTGATTTTATTCCCCTAAACTTCTTAGGTTTTGCATGGGGGGATGCACATCTATCGAACTTCCCCTTACACATCATTTATTGACATTTAGAGCCCAAGTATGCTTTTGGTGGTGGTTTGGGGTTTTCTTTTGTAGTTCATTCAAATGTAACTTAGAAAACGCAAACTATCAGTGAGCAACAGCTAACTCATCATTCGTAACATCCATGTTTATTAAAGTTAATGAGCTCTATTTTTAATTCTACAGAAAACATTTTTTCTTTTTTCCCCTCTTTTTCATTTTTTTTTTTTTGCAAAAAGGGAACACCTGCTCATCTCCTCTGCTTTTCACAAGCCTGGAGACACGTTATTAGATAAGGTTTGCAGCCTTAATACTTTCTCTTTCTCTCCCCCCTTATTTTTCTTCTTCTTTTTAAAGAGGCAAGATGAAAATAAAGCTATCAAAACAAAACAAAAATAAAGGTAAAAGGTATTAACCCCCCCCAAACACACACAGAAGGGGTGCTATGACACAGATCTGTGTATAAGGAGATGAGCTGGTCTGAAAGGTAAAGCTGGTGACCGGGGACAGAGGGACGTCCTCAGCCAGGCCGGGTGAAGGGTTCACCGCTCGCTGCCTGCGTCCCAGGAGAAGAATAAGCCCAGGTCAAGCCAACCCGTCGGAGGCCAGCCCGGAGAGCAGCAGATGGTGCCTGCAGCCATGCAAATCAGAAGGTTTAAAGAGTGACAAAGAATGGAAAGGATAAAAACTCAAACAACCTGCCCATCTCCCGTAAAGCAGGCACGAGAGGCAAGCCACACGCAAGAAGGCCCAAGCATCAGCTCCAAAACCATTCCCAGCAGCCGCTCGTCCTTCCCCACATCTCTTTCTGTCCAAAGCTCACAGAGGGGATGAGCTGTGGTCTTGCTATTTCCAGCCACCCTGCGATTTTTGTTGCCATGTGAACTCAGCTGCAATGTCAGCCGCCGGCAGGTACCGCAGCGCGGGGTCTTCCCACACCCCGATTTCAGCAGCCCCCTGCCAGCCCAGGGAGGGCTCACCCAGCCCCAGGTGCCTGCAGGACCAGCCTGCCCTGCGCTGAAACATCACTGGCTGCAAAGCATCGCCGTGGGAAACCCGGGGGACACCGCCTCGGGCAGGGCTTCCTGGGCAAGGCCCCGTCACCTGCCAGGAGCTAAGGGAACCTGCAAGGGTCCTTGTTCCAGTGAGGAGGACAGTGGTTGTGGGTGGCTGCCTGCCCCCAAGAGCAAGCAAACAGCCAACACAGCCATGTCGACATGCTCTGAGCAAAGAGGGAATTGGTGCCCCAAGCACATCACCTTCAGATTTTCAGACACAGTCCAAACAGAGAGTTGTAAGCAGCTGAAACCTCAGCTCAGCCAACCGACCGGATAGCCTGAAACAGAACATACCTCCAGCAGACGCTGGCTTCCATCAAGAATTGATCATAGAAATACAACCTGAAGTTTGAATGTATATCAGCTTTTTTAAAATTTATTTGCCAAGGCAATAATACATAACCTTGCCGCAAACATCTGTAAACCCTCCCTCTCCTCTAGCCACGCTTCTTGTAAACTCAGACTAATTTCATTTTCCCCTTGGACTTACCCGGCTGCAAGACTAACGCAAAGAGAACTGCAGAGAGCCCAGCCCCGCAGCCCCCATCCAGGGGAAGGGGCAGCCAGGCCCTCGTCACAGACACCGGCAGCAAATAAAGAACCTCAGTCTGTCTAACAGGGACCAGCTTGTTCTTCCAACCTTTGTTGCAAGAAGAAAAGCTCTTGATATTCCTGCTATTAAACTGACTCATACTGGAAGCCCCAGGATTTCCAGCAGGTCATTCTAAGCCATCTGGGTCTAAGCTTTTCTTTATTTTATAAGCAGTACCTCCACTCCACAAATCATCCACACTTTCCTTTCCACAGAAGGCTGAAGAAGAGCCACTGGAGTCAATCAGACCTCAGCAGCTGAACGACCATCCTCCCTCCTCGCTGCAATTACCAGGAGCGCGGGGCTGCCCTGGGTCCTGGCCAGCGGCGGGAGCTCTCAAAGCAGAATTTCCAACGCCAAGAGAGGGACCATCGTTTTTTTCCTGCAAGGGTAAAAACGCTGGGCGCCAAGGCAAGGCTAACCGAGGTGGCACCTGACAGGCTCTCCTGGTTCCTATCTCAGAGACACGTCCCTTGCTAGCGGTGGTGGCAGCTCTACACCTTCCATGCCTTGCTCTGAAACAAACAAAAACTCAGCATCAAGGTAGAAAATAACAATAAAAAAAACGTTACGAAAAAAAGCCAACCGCGAAGCATTTTGACCAGAAGGAAGCTACAGGAAACCCCTGCAAAGAGCTCGAAGCCTCTTCCCCCCAGGCCAGCGCTCTCCCCTCCTTGCTCCATCACCCTCTGGCTCCGGGGGGCACCCACCACCCATTCATTCCCACCAGCCCTCGCCTCCACCCGGCCAACCTAGCAGCAACTTCACCGCAAGTGTCAATACCTCCATTTTTTGTGTGTGTGTGTGTTGGGGTTTTTGGGTGGTTTTTTGGGGGGGACGTTGTCCCCCTCCCCTTCCCTTAAATGCAGAGCAAACTTCCCTGGCTGCTCCCACTCCCCATGCCCCAGCCCTGCTGCCGATTGGCAGGGAAACCCTATACCCACCCTCCCCGCCGAGAAATGTCTGCTCTTGCAGCAGTCCCAACAAAAGCCAACTGCCAAGCACAGGCTGCTTCACAATAAAAGTCTCACTCTCTCCTTTTTTTTATTTATTTTTTTTTTCTCCCTTCCTTCCCTCCTTTCCCAAAGCCACCCGACCCCAGACTGATTATTAACCTTCCGTGGCTGGAGAGCCTCCATAAAGAGCAAACCCCACCAGAAATGAAGCGTTATCCTCCCCTCGACCCTTTTATTTTTAGGTTTCAAGGGGAAGGGAAAAATAAAACAAACTATTGCATCTTAAGAAAGACTGATGATGTCTTTAGAAGGGCTTTAAAAGCCACGAGGATGCAAGGAGAGGAGCTAATGCTGGTTTAGTTTTTCCTCTCTACCTCTGTTTACAAGAAAACAGCTTCCTCTCTTCCGGGAGGTCTTTGGAGGGGATGGAAGATGGGTCAGACCAGGCAAGGAAAAGGCTCTGCAGCATTTCCAAACAGATGACGACTAGAAACTACAGTGGTGCCTTTAAAACAAGAAAAAAAATAAAAAGAAGGAAAAAAAAAAAGCCCACCCAAAAAAAAAAAAAAAAGGAAGAGAAAAAGAACAAAGCTGGGAAAGACAGCAAGAGCTTTCTCAGCCTCCTCCTTGGCATTTTCATCAGGCATCCGGGTGCCCTTCGCAAAACTCCAAACAGGTTTTATAGGCAAAGACAACACATGCACAGCAAAACTCCAACATATTGCAGCTTACCAAGCCCGAGAGACCAGTGAGTTACATCATGAACCAGAGCTCTCTCCAGGCAGCCCAGGAAGGAGCGGAGGTTGATGTGCTAAGATGTCTACCTTCACCGGGCTCTCTTCTTCGGTTTTTTTTTTTTTTTTTATGTGTCTTAAAAATCAACCGTCTAGGAACCCGAGGCTTTGCAGCAGCGTTACTCGAATCGGAGCCATGCAGCTAAAAAGCAGGTCGATCTGAAAGAGGGCTGGGGAGCAGGAGGACCCCTCTGAAACTCGCTCCCGTTTGGGGCAGCCGCTGCCCCGGCCTCCAGAGCCAGCAGGACGGATCCTGCACAGCCTGGGAAGCCTCCAGCCGGGAGGTGGACACCGACCCCTCAGGGGTGACCCCACCGGGCGCTGCTCCCCACGAGAAGATGGGGGCAGGAGCCTCGACACCAGCTCCTTGGCAAAGCTCTCCAGCAGGGCAGGACTCCTGCACGAGGCAGCGGGGAGGTTTGCGATGAGCCCTGCGCAAGGCGAGAGAGGCAAAGCTCTCCATGAATGATGCAACCCCAGCAGCAGGAGATTCTCATTCGCTCCTTTTTTTCCTTCCCTTTTTCTCCTGGAAAAATAATAACAAATAACACAACCCAAAGTGACTCGCTCGCGATAACCTCCGCCTTAAAGAGAAGTCAAACGTTCTGCACTTAATTATATAGGAAGCAATGATTAAGGAAACGCCTGTAGAACGAGTGTTTCTCTGGCAGGCGCGGGAAGGCTGCTCATTTCGGGTCTCAGCGCTGCCCAGGCCCTGTGCACAGGCAAAGTCTGGGATCACTGCTCATGGGGACGCTGACCACAGGCCTGTTTTTAGAAATGTTTGATCTGGAGAAGGAAGGAAACGCAACCACCAGCATACCTGGCCTACAAAGCAGTCACCAGCCTCAAAGCTGCTTTTTTCCAGGTTAAGGCCACTTCCTTATAAGCCTCATGCAATCACGTGAACGTGGAATTTTATCTGCGGCTCACGACAAGCACTGCCTTCAGCCTGAAGTTTGTCCCCAAATCAAATTCTTTGCAATTCCTTTGTCTCCTGAATTCCTTTCATCCAGATCCTTCTCAAGAGAAAAGAAACGCTTCCTTCTCTACCCCTGCGTCCTCCCTCCTACCCCAGCCCTCTCTCCTATTCCAGCCACACAAATCAACTCCCGACACAGAGGGAAGGGTAGAAACGAGGCGCAAGTCCCTGCATG